GGAAAGCTTTTGAAAAAAGGGGGGAGCCAGAAAATTGAATTTTTTTTTTGTTTTGGGGGGGGGGAAAATGAATAAAAAGGGATTATTTAAAGAGGGGGGGGGGGGGGGGGGGGTGCTTCACACTTTTTCTCTGGGAGAGCGGGGTGGACGAGAAGGGAATGTTTTTGTTCTGTGAAGGAGATGGAGAATCCTGAGCTTTAAAGTCCCTTTCTGGGGTTCAGTGAATAATAACGGATGGCCACGTTCCCAAAAAAAAGAAAAAGTGGGGTGGGGGAAGAAAGCGAGAGAGAGGGAGAAGAGGGGAGCGAAAAATGAACAAGAAAAAGGAAACAGAGGGGGAAGATAGGCATTCTGATTCCCTTTTTAACTGAGCAACTGGTGAGGAAGGCATGCGAGCACTCAAGTGAATTCAGGATGAAATTGCGAGCTTCTACAGATCCGATGCAGAAGCCGCGCCGGCTCGCGGCGCCTCCTTCCCAACTTGCGAGCCCAGGCCGCGTCCAGGCGCAGGGGCGGCGGCGCCCGGCTGCCCGCTCCCCCTCGCCAAAGTTCACCGCCTTCCAAAGAAGGGGCTCTCTTCTCCTGTCCGGGAGCCAAGACCTCTTTTAGGATCTATCGATAGGTATATTTTAAGAGGAAAAGGGCTGTGGTGAGCAGAGAAAAGTTTTGCAGTTGAAGGAGCAGAAACCTGCGAGCGAACCAGCACCTTCCTCGGTGGATTTGCCGGCAACGTTGCGCGGGGTGTGTGCGTGGGGAAGACGAGGCGTTTTCTTTTTTGGAGGGGGGGTCTTTTTGGTTTTCTTTTTTTACCTGGGGGAGAAAAGGGGGGACCAGCGGGGGGGGGGGGGGGGTGGGGGGGGGGGGGGGGGGGGGGGGAGGTTGAAATTAACAAGACCGGCTTCGTGAAATTGACCAACAGTGGCATGAAATTGACTTAAGTGGCGAAAGGCGCAAAAGCCGGACGTGGTGCGGCAGGAGATGGGCGAGGTTGCGGCTCTTGTGAGGGGAGAAAGTCCCGCTTTCCCCCGGATGGAGAACCGAGAATCAGCTGGGTTTAGGGAAACTTTGCGGGTGTTGGGGCGATACAGGAGGACAACAATAAGCTAGCAAATGCTCACAGTGGAAAAGGAGAGAGAGAAGATGGGGGGATCCTAGGAGCAGACTGGCGGAGTCGCTTCTCTGTCCTCACTCCCCAGACTGTCCCCCAAGTTGGTCTCGGAGAAAACCTTCCACATTACCTGTTGTAAAAAGTCAGTGTCTTAAAAGAGATCACTCTGGTTTTAATTCTCCACCCCCGGTTTTTTGTTTTAAATCATTAGGTATGCTTAGATTTGGGGCTCCCCTCTATTCGGGGGTGCTATGTCTTTGGGTTATAGTGTGATTAGAAATGTGATACGTGTGCCTAGATCGGGTGTCTAAACTTTTCTTTCTCTTCTCCCGCCGCCTTTTGTACCTGGCTCGGTACCCCAGTACGATGAATTGGTACATTACGCCGGAATGGATGGGGTCTCTCTGCCGGGATTTGGAGACCCACATACGGGCAGGGGTCTGCAGCATCCCGCCTTGAGTCAGGGGTCCCCGTATGGATCCGCTGGGGTTAACCACCGGCCCGGGATTCCCCCAGGGCTTGGCACCAATGACGCCCTGAAGAGAGAGAAGGATGAAATCTATGGGTAAGTCGGACGACGGCTTCATCCCAAACTGGTAGAGGGGGAGAGTGAAAGGGAGAGAGGACGAGCCCAGAGTTCGAGTCCCGGAATCCGCGGGGTGAAAGAGGGTCCATTTTCCCAGCTTGCCTTCCCCCAAAGCGAAGAGCGTTTCTGCCGCGTCTTTCTCGTGTAAATCGGCGTGGGATTGCTTGCTTCCCCCGCGCCCGCCCAAGCCGGATTCGGGGGACGTGGTGCTGGGGACACAAGCTGGGCAGCTCCTCTGTTCTCCTGCGCATCTTTTCTGGCCCTAAGCCTCATCCTATGCAAGTGGGCTGGCTTCTAAGGCTGGGGAGACGGGGCTCTTCAGCGACTGAGATTCTGCAACTTACCTCGAAGGGGAGGGCAGTCTCTGAAGGACACGCAGCCTGCGTGGCTAGGGGACTTTCTCCCGAGGAAGCATGCAAAGGCGCCAATCCTCGCCCGCTTGCCTGGAAACAGGTCCCCCCCGCCAGCCACCCCATCCCCGCGCCAGATAATGCCAAAAGCTCCGCGTCGTTTGCAAAGACCCGACGGCAAGTTTTAATTCTGGGTCCTGCTGGGACCTCGCTCCCTGGCTAAATCCTGGATCTTTCGAAGCCAGTTTCGTGGATCGGAGATTCCCCCGCCCCCGCGTCACTTCAGTGGGTCTGCCCCCGCTTTCCCCCCTTCCTCCCCCGTGGGACAGGTCATGATGGTGCGTGTTTAATGGGTCGATCCGGCGCGATCCGGGCTCTCCCTCCTCCCCCAGAGTGTTCTCCGCCGACCTGTCAGCTCTGCGCTCTGTACAGCTTGACCCCTGCAGGCTTACTCTGCAGTAAGTAAGATCTAGTAATTCAGGATCATAGCCTGAATTAACAGACCCGCCCCCTCCTGATTCTTGGCTCCTGGAGTATTTCTATACTCCCGCGGGATCTTTTCACGTTGTTCCGAAGACTTGCTCTTTCTTTCTCCTTAGGATAAAGGCATCTGACTGACTGGAAGGGTCCTTCGACCCTCCTTCCTTCCTTCCTTTTCGTATATTTCTTCCGTACTTTCACTGGCAGGCTGGTTTCCTTCTCCCTAATTCTCCCGTGCGCATTAGTGCTAAGCTCAGGTAGTTCTCCTTGCCGAAAGATCTGTTTGCGTCTTGGCTGCGGCTCAGAATTTCCCCACTGGATGAAGCCCTGTTTGGCTTTTCCAGCCCCTGCTCCTTTCTAGGCACCCCACGCGTCCCGGGCCTTCTTCAGGACCTTTTGCATTCTGGTAGAGCGTGGGGAAGAACTCCGAGAAGGTGGGAAAAAGAAGGAATGGCGGGAGTTAGGGTTACCTTCTTAGAATTTAACTAAGGTTCTGGAAGAATAACTATAATGATGGCACTGCTACTACTAAAAATGCCGAAACTGTGTTGTTGTTTGCTGTTGTTTTAATCCTCTATTTCCACTGCAAAGTGAAAGGAGCTTAAAAGTTTGAAGGGAAGGGAAGAGAGGGGAGGGGGTGATTTAGAAATGGCTAAGAATGAACAAAAGCAATCCTCTGGCAAGGTCACCCTGCAGCCCCCCCCACCCCATTTTTGCGTGCCTTACAGAGACGGCCTTACCAGGAACAGAGGCTCTGTTTCACTTCTGGTGGAGAATCAAGCCCATCCTTGAGGGAGCTTTGGCTTTTGGGCAGTAGAGAAAAGCAATAAAGAAATAAGGATGGCAAAGGGGGAGACAGATCAGTCGCCCTCTGCCTCATCCCCCCTTCTGTGAAAGTGGAGCGCCCATCTGCCCCCCAGAGTAAAGGGACCGGGGCTCCTCCGTTTGTTTGCAGATGAAATGTGCTTTCCTCACGGACTGCAGCGCAAGCTTCTTGGCTGGCAAATTCATGGAGCAGCCTGTTAGGGTTAGTGTTTCCCTGGAGCCTCCAGTTTCAAGGCAGTCTATCTAGCAATAGCAGACGGTGGTGGCTTAAAGAAGGAGTAGCCATTACCTTCATGCGCAGCACATGAGTTCCGCACGGGCATGCGACAAGGCCGAACCACAGTCGCAAACGAGCCGCCGGTCCTTGGGCTGGTCCAGCACGGCAACAGAATTGCAGCGTGGTGTCGTGGGGAGGAAGGGAAGTGGTGCCGCTGGTCCATTCCCAACCCAAAAGGGATATAATAAATGCGATGCATCGCTGCTCGCACAGTCGTTTTGCTAAAGGGTTTCGCGGCTCCCTGCTCTGCGGTGGAAGGCTCCATGCAGGCAGGTGGGGATGCTGTACTGGGTTCCTCTGAGCCTATTGTGAGTGCAGTGGGTGAGCCTGGACGTGGCATTTCTGTTTCCCACCCTCAAGATCTCGATACCTGACTCTGGCAATCCCAATGCTGTTTTGTGCATGTGGTTTTAAGGAGATGTAATAAGGAATGAATTATTGTCAACTATGGTGGTGCTCCCAAAAGGCTGGTTGGATCGTGCCGGCTTCTGGGCGGGGTGGTTAAGCATAAGGATCTTTGGCTCGCCTGGAGGGCCCCTAGCCCAGGGCCCTGCTGCCAACAGGGGACAGAGAGATGGTTTCGAAGTTCCTGCAGAATGAAGGACTTGCTGCTGATCGCTCCATTTAGCTGTGGGCATTAAGAACAGCTGACAGAGCCTTTGCTCCATGAATCCAATCCTTAAAAAGAAACAAAAAACTTTTATATCAGTGTCCCATCCACCACCACGAGATCTCATGGCAGCAAACCCCCAACCTATCCGTCCCCAAACCTGGCTCTTGGCTTTGCACGGAAGGGCCCAAGCGGCAAGACATTCACTGCGGCAGAACATGCCCCGGCCACACTGAGGTGGATCTCACCTGGGTCTCCATGGCGGATGTTCCCGTGTGGGTGGCCCTTTCTGTGCCGTGCCTGGTTGTTGCCCAGGCCGGCCTTTCGTCCACGCTTCCAGGAAAACCTCGCTTCCAACCTGTACAGAAAATGCCCCAAAGCACCCAAAGCATTTTATGGTCTCAAAGGGCTTCCCTGCTTTTAAAATTTTATCGCTACATTTTCTCTAAATTTAAAAATGATGTAAATCGATACATGTAAATCATGAAAACAGACGCGAAAATACAGAAGCATTTGAAAAAGTAACGGTAGTATAAAACAGAGGCAGGGGTCCAGGAGTTCAGGGGCAAAGAGGAAAACAAGACAGGAACTTAAGGTGGAAAACCGGGAAAGGATGGCACGCGGCAGAGCCCGTGAAGTGTGAGCCGCGGGGCTGGGCACCTTCCCCTCGGACTCTTGCTCTGCTTCACCAGTGCCCCCCGCAACACGGGTGGTCCAGGCAGCCACTTGGGTTGGTGCTGCAGCAGGAGCAGCTTCTCCAGGCGGTGTAACCATTTCAGTGGCCTCTCGCCTGACGATGCTCTTGCCTTCCTCTCGCTGCTCGTGTGGAATCTTCCTTCTGGGGCCCTTTTAAGATAAAAATGCAGGGGCGTTTGGCAAAGAGCAGAGCTACCAATGCAGGTTGGAAGAAAAGAGAATCCGGACACAACGGAGCTGGAAATCAGCAACTCGCAAACTTGGGGGTGTTTTTTTTAAATAGTTTAATATAAAATGGTGATGGTATTTAATCATCCTACTTTTCTTCCGTGATGGAAGCACGTGGTGTGCTCAGGTGAGGTCCCATTAGGCACTGGGCTGACTCAGATCAGCTTGGGACTGCAGGTTCGCTACAGCATGAGCCCCCCGATCAACTTGTGCGGGGAAGAAACACCCCTCGGAAGCACGTGGCACAGATTCGAGCACAACGTGCTTCTGTGCAACAGGCGCAGTCGTGCACGCTCGGCCGTGCGGCCCCAAGTGCCCAGTTGGCCCCTGGGGGTCCAAGCGGCTCGCCTGCGTTGAGTGCTGCGCCTCCGGAGTGTGTGTCGCGCTGAGCCTGGGGTGACTCGGAGCACAATTCCAGGTGGGTCCAGGAGAGGAAGGGGGCATTTTTGTATGGACGTAATGCTGGCCTTTCATTTCATCGCTCTCTTTAAACACGTCGCCATTTAGAAACTTAACAGCAACAGCACCAACCAACACAATTAATAATCTAAAAGAAATAAGCAGGTCAGCGCAGCATCAAAAATGACACTGGTTGTATCTGAGAGGTAAATGCACGCACAGATCTCCTCATATAGACATTTTTAGCCTGGTGCCAAAAGGATAGCAAGGAAGGTCCCAGGTGAGCGTTTTGGGGGGGGGGGGGCTTGCAGAGTTTGTGGGGGGAGTGCTGAAGGGCCCTGTCTGTTGGTGGCACCTTCCAAGCCCCAGAATGAGAAGGAACCTGAGGAAGGCCATGCATGCCCGACTTTACACGACCTGGGGCAGGAGACTTTCTCTCAGGTACCAAGGTGAAAAGCAGCACGTTGAATTGGGCCTGGAAGGAAATGGAACCAGTGCAGGTGGGAATGGCCCAGCATTCCAGCTGTGATGCCTGGTCCCAGGTAGAAATTTCACAGCCACCTTTCACCATACCCAAGATTTCTGGACCGTCTCTAAGGGCAGGCCCACGTGGAACATATTGCAGTAATCCAGAGGGAAGGTTACCGGGGTATGATTCACTTCAGCTAAGCTATCCTTTTACAGAAACCAGTGGAATTTGTTTGGAACAGATATGGGCAGGACTGGCCTTTAGTTTTGCTTAGAAGCAGTGGGAGAGGTCTTAGCTGTGATTGGTAAAGGGTAATTTTGCCTGTTGTGCAGAAATAAATGTGGCGTTTTCCACCAAATGGAATTTGCATCTCATCCCAACTCCTTAAGCAGGAGTTGCCTGAATTATACATGCATGTTGCCCCCACATCAGACATCTTTAGTTGCACACTTAAGCATATAACATGCCACATCGTCCTGAGGGCTCTCTTGGGTTCTGTGCATACTTTCAGAGAGGTAAGAGCATATCTAACTCTTGGTGGATTGTGCCCTATGCTTTTACATTCAGGGGCGCTAGAAAATTCCTTCTCATCGTCCAGATTCCACTCCACTAACATCTTTGACCCTGCAGCAAGATTTATGGGCTAGTCTAACTGGCCTGTGTCTTTTCACTCATTCACCCCAACCAGTTGACGGCTCTGCCATTAGGAAGAGAAAGATGGTGGTGCGAAGGGGAGAGAGGAATTGCTCACCTTATAAATTTCCCCTCCCTTTGCACACTGAAAGAAAAGACTCCACATTTTGACCTCCCTCCTTTAGTTTCTCAACTTGATGATCAGGAGTGGTACAAAGAATATAAAAGCTCTGAGCCTCAGGCTCACCAGAACAAAAACAAACAACCCCCAAATCTGCATATGCTAATATACATATTAGATTCAGGGCGCCTGGCCTGCCCTTGTTGACCAACTGCTGACACTACCTCTGTTGACTATTTCTTGGATGACTGGGAATGTTCCGTTTCTGCACGGCCTGCTATTTTTTTTTTTTTAAGATAGCCAACGAAATGTTTGCTGCATTGAAAAATCACTTCACTGGCTCTTTTTTACTGTAAAGAAAATGCACAGAAAACAAGAACCCAAGACATGAAATTTAGAAGGTGAGTGTAGTTCCTCACCACCCAACATCTCATCCCCCCTTCTCGCCACTGACTTTAAGGATTGTTGTTATCAGGTGGAAGCTAAGAATGCGGATTTTCCCTAGCCCTAAACCTAGGAATGAATCCCTAAGATGCAGATTGTGCCCCTCAGTCAAGACACCACTTGTAAAGCAAAAATGCATTTGTCCACCCTAACCAACTTATGCTGTTGGGAAATACAGGAACAAGTTTAAAAGCATCACCGGGAAAATGGCCTAAGAGAAACTTGATGGATTTCCCTTCCCTGCTTTGACTTGAACTTACAGTTTGACGCTTGCCAGCCGTCTTAGAATGATTTCCCCCCAGCATAAACATGAAAGTTTCTGCCTTCTCCCCCCCACCCCCCCGTACCACCCTATGTTACAGCTGCAGTGTTTTTGATTTGCAATTTTCCCCCTAGAATGGGGGTGAGGGAGAAGAGGGGAAAGTGTTGCAGGATTTTGCCTTTTCATGGTTTTTTTTTTTTTTTTTTTTGAGGGGGGTGTTTTTTGTTTTGTTTTGTTTTACGTATGAGATATAAAAGTACCGTGGAGACGCTCACTTAACAGTTACACCGTGCTGGGCCTCTGCTAGAAATATTTGTGTAACATATGGTGCGTGAACTTGTATAATGTATGGCTGGGAACACTCTGTCTCTCTAGCTATCCGTCCAAATCTGGGGTGGGGGAGAGTGGGGGGGGATTGAAGGACGAGCTTCGCTGGCTGCATGTTGAAATCGCAAAGACATAAATTGCCCAACAGGCGGAGATGTGCTGCTCCTACCCACCGATAAGAGCTTTGAAAGGGTGGCCGTCCTGGAAGAGCTGGTTTCTTCCGGGATGGACTGAACATTTTTGGAGAGCCTTTTCCCAGTTTTTGTTAGATCCCCCTCCCCCTGGAGTTCCCCTCTTCCTGGAATGTTACAGGTCCATTGATCTGCTCTTGGCTGAAGATCTTCAATTCCAAACTTCACGCAGCGTTTAGTTATGGTGAATTTACTTTTTGTTTAGTCTAATTTACTCCCCCCTCCCACTTTTGCGCATGCTTAATGATGTGGCCCCTGCGCATGCATGTGGATCCCTGGGCGAGGCCGCACCAGGGCCATCTACACAGGGGAATCCTGTATGGTCACACTGCATCACAGGTCATGTTTCCGTAGCCTTTGCACGACCACAGATGGTATTTGCCGAAGGAGTCGGCCGATTCACACGTCTGGTGGTCTTGGCTGAATAAAAGAAAAGACCCAGGGAAGTAAGCAGTAGCGCATTGGGCTGGATCCGGACCACTTTCCTGCACTTTGGTGATTCTCCTGCAGATTGACTGGGCCTGCCCGGACGTAGCCTTCTAATGCCAGGGTTCCTTTCTTCGGCCTATGGGAGAACGTGTCCCTTGACACAGATGCAGAGTGCCTTCTTCGCTGTTCCCAGAGAATAACCCAGACCAGCCTTCCCCAGCCTGGTGCCGTCCGCGGCTGTGCGCCTCCTGGGTGAAAGAGTTGCGGTTTGAGGTTCTCGAGCAGGGAGGGCCTCTCCTAGCCATCTCCAGGCTTGGGGAGCACCAAGGAGGGTTCCAGGAGCCCCCCCCCCAGACACTGGCCCCTGAGCTTGCCTCTGGCGTCATTCCCCCCTCCCCACCCGCGGTTGGAATGGTCCTGGAGCGCCCGTGCGCCGCTCAGGAAAGGGACAGGCAAAGGGCCACGCGGGACGGGCCCTTCCTGCACCCCACTGCCTGGCCCCGGTTTGTGTTTCGAGCTGAAATGTGGCTGCTCGCTAGGCCACCTTTGCTGGGCGTACCTTGAGCGTGTCCTCTTGTGTGGCAGGCACCCTCTGTTCCCGCTGCTGGCCCTGGTCTTTGAGAAATGTGAGCTGGCGACTTGCTCTCCCAGGGATACTTCTGGCTCCTATCCAGGAGGAGATGTCTGCTCATCGGATTCCTTCAATGAAGACATTGCCGTCTTTGCTAAGCAGGTTGGTTTCCGGACAATGGGAGGCTCGGGAAGGAGGGAGGTCCTGGCGGTGGTGGTGGGGAAGGAACAAGATAGTAGGCCAGCCTTGTAAATTACTCTTTTAAGATGCTAGTCCATAAGAATGTTACCTAGTCCACCTGCCCACTCATTGGTGGCCTTCGTAAATCAATGGAAGAGCCAGCTTCCGTGACGCTCGCTGCATGGTCGCCTGGAGGCGATTCTCAACTCGCTGCAGATGCCTTGGCGCTTGACTCTTCACCACCTTTTGCCTTGTGGTCTCGTGATAAAATCGAGGGAAAGGGCCTTATTCTTGGATGAGCGGCTGTGCTGCTAAGAGGAGCTCTGGCACAGTCATTCGTTCAGCAGGGGTGGAAGGTGCACGTCTGTCACACGGAATACGAGAGGCTCTCCTGATGCTGCAGAAACCGCATTTCGAGTCACAGGCTCCCAGCGCGCTGTCGCGGCGCATCGGATGAAGTGGGGTTTGGAGAGGTGGGGCACCGCAGCCAGGCGGCAGCCGCGGTGGACAGGACGTGCCCGTCTGGATGCGGCAACCGCACAGCCTCCAGCCCGAGAAGTACTCCCAGTGTCAGAGAGGAAGTACAGGTAGTGAGCGGCAGCAGGAGCGAAAGCTCTCCCGGCACCAACGTGGTGCCAGCCGGAGGTGGCTTCCCAGGCAGCGCTGCCCCACGGGGCTGGACAGCGGTTGCCGTGGAAGGTCCAAGGGAGGCGTGCGCAGCCCGTCGGGCCGCTGCCGGATCACCAAGCGGCAGCATCACAAAGCCCCGCAAACTGTTATCCAAACAACGGGATGTAAACGTTTGTGGCCTCTCTCGGAGGGATGCTGGGAATGGTATTTCTGTTGGAAGGCCAAGCCGGGGCCTTCCGATTTAAAAACAACAGTAACCATTTGGCTGCTCCCAGGGCTGTACTTCCCAGACTTCCGTGGGGAAAGCTGAGAATCAGATTAGCTTCCAGCTCAGTATTTTTTGCAATGGCCGGGCCGGGTTGCTAAATTAGGGCCACACTGCAGTTGCTGTCTTCAAAAACTATTGGATGTGCAGGCAATAGTCTGTTCATGTTGCGCACCAGTTACCTCTGCCTACCTGGGCTACTCCCTTCTTCTGTCCCTCAAAAGATACACCAAATCGGGAAAGACTTTGAGAAGTTTTGGAGATGCCGTGAGGTTGCCATCCTAACCCCATTGACCAGGATGAAAGCCCCTCTGAACTCCAGGGAGCTGCCATCTAGACCGACACGTATCCAATTCCACTCCAAACCTCCCATGGGATTTTTTTAGTGTGCATCAGCTTTCTATGCACCCTTCTGCACACTGCTTCTGTTCCCCCAAAATGTGGCTGAATTTAATGGCACTGTAGTTATTAGAGGGCAAGAGTGGAGCTGTGCTTGAATGTTGGACTGGGACTTGGGAAATCCAGGCTCCTGGCCCCACCTGGTGCTGAAGCTTGCTGGGTGTTGTTGGGGCTGTCACTGACTCTCAGGCTGACCTACCTCGCAGGGCCGTTGTTGTGTGGATAAAATGAACAGGAGGAGTGCCTTGTGAACTGCATTGAAATATAATAATTCTGATTAATAACTGCACCCAGGTTGTACCTTTATGACTGTAAATATTTCATCGAAGCATCTTTAATATTTTAAAAGACGTGTCCATCCCCTCAAGGGCCAAAAAAAGAGGATCTTTAGAATAAATACATAAAGACACAGCCCTGGGCGTGCTGAGATGAAAAAAGTTCTACGAGTCCCAGCCTCAGAAGCAAAAGGACAAAACGGAAGTGGTGGCATTTGGATGCGTCACAAGAAGGGAGAAAACAAGCGCGTGAGGCGGAAGACGAAGCCCAGCCTGGCGTGGGCTGATCCCATCAAGGAAGCCACAGCCTTGCGTGGACCAGAGCCAAGCCGGGCTGCCATGGGGGGGATGTTCTGGAGGGCTCTTCTTCGTGGGGTTGCCCTCAGCCAGAGACAGCGTGACGGCATGTCGCAGCCACAGCGCCAGTGCACACGCGGGAAGCGTCTCTCTGTCCCGCCAGACTCCAGCATCCGGAGGACGGGAGTCTTCAGCAGGGGGTAACCAGGGAGGGGAGCAGAGGGGCAACGAACATGACGGGTCTGCATCTCTTGGCTGCCCGAGGCGAAGGACGAGCGCACGCCTGTTCCGGCTCCGCATGTCCTGCTGTGGAAGCTCATTCCAGTGCTATCACTGGGGCAGTGTCCACAGAGCTGTGCCCCCCAACAGAGGGGGCTGCTTCTCGCCACCCAGTGTGGGTGCAGGGGATGCTTCATAGTTCGCCGAGTGGGCAGGGCCAGCCCTAATGGACAAAGCCCACTGCAGTCTGCTGCTTTCGTCTTTCCCCAGCCCATGAGATATGCTGGACTACATACAGCTCCCATCAGCCCGGCATATCTCATCAGTGGGTAATGGGAAGTATAGCCCAACATTCTGGAGGGCCTGTATTTGTAGGGAAGCTAAGTTATGGAATGCTGGAACATTTCTCTCCACATTGTGGGGAAAAATACTGCATGTCACTTCACTGATTTCTGCAGATTAAGTTGCTGTTAAAAGTTCAGGAACAGACTTGGCTGTTTTCTCTTCTGGTCAGTTGGCACACCTATTATTATTATTATTATTATTATTATTATTATTATTAACATTCCATTTATGCTACATCTTTTTCCTCTTGCAAAGAACGCAAGGCAGCTTACATAATCCTCTGCCTCTCCATTTTATCCTCACAAGAACCCTGTAAGGTAGGTTAGGCTGAGTCCCAGTCCGGTGCTCTAACCACTACACCATACTAGCTCTTTGGCTCAAAGTGCAAGCAGAGTGAAAGCTGGCTTGTCATTCAGTCTCTGCTAAGGGCAGGGCAAACTCTGTTTTTCAAGATGCATCGGAACACAAACAAGACGCCCTATTGCACCTCAGCATAAAAGAGAAATTATTGGAGAAATATTGTTTGGGGTCATTGAACGCTTAAGTCCTTTTCTTGAGAAACTAGTGGTGTCATTTATGATTCAGCAAGTCAGTCAAGCAGTAAGACCAAATATGGGAGGATGAAAAATGAGATATGTTGGGGATATTAAATCAGATCAAGTTTCTTTCTTAAGCAATTCAGATTTTTGTGCAAGGAAGATATCAATGTGGTGTAAAGAAGACTGGACTGGAACTGGGAGATCCGGGTTATGGTCCTCACTCTGCCAGGAAGCTGCTCAGGTGACTGTGGGCCAGAACACTCACCCTACCCATACTGCAAGAGGAACAAAGTGCTTTGGAGCACGTGCAGAGTGCCCTTCCTCACTGCCAGGAAGCAATGTTTAACATAGATGAATGCCTCCAGCTGCCTTTGAAATGCGCCCTCCTACATGGGATCTAAGCAGAGTGGGGAAGGAAGAAGCATCTGTTGGCATATTTGGGTACCCTGAGCGCCTTGAAATAGGGACAGACCCTGGGACCTTAATCTGGCAACACCCCCGCCCCCCCCCCCGCTCCCAAGCATCTGCAAATCAGGCCAAATGGCTGCTCCCCCCACATGTCAAATAGCAGCTTGGTGAGGGGGCAGATGACTTTTGTTAGGATTTTGCAGCGGGGGGGGGGAAGCCCCCTTCCCTCCCCCCCCATCCTGCCCCTCCCCCCACATGCCTCCTCTTTCTGGTGGAAGGAACAATCACTCAGCCTCAAGTGACATGTTTCGCTCGCCTGTCGTTTGGCCTTGAAGATTACCATCTTTCCCTGCCCCTTTCCTTTAATTTTATGGAAATTAGAGAAACAACCAGCAAAAACCCGTTTCCATCCCACATCGCTGTTCCAGCTGGCTTGGCTTCTCTCCGTTCTGGCAACCAGGGAGGAGGACAATCCTCCGGCAGGCTCTGTTCCGGCAGAGAGGAACGGAGGGACCCCTCTGGTGGGAGACGCCGCCTGCCCGGAGGCTGCATTTGGGGTCGCCCACCAGCCGTGGTGCAGGGGAGCCGGGCAGGCTGGGCGGAGACCCCGGGACCTTCTGGTTAGCAGGGCGCAGCCAGCATCTGCCCTCCCCCCCCCC